TTATTGCATCTTTATTGTATTGATACCTGCATGACAAAAATTATTGCAATGAAAGTTCAGCAGTATATACATATTACTGTTAATCATAATATCACAGGGTATGTCTACACTGCAGGGCTAAGATTGAACTGAGCTTCACAACATCAGCTACATCAGTTGCTTAGCTTAAATCAAAATTGCATAATTCAGCTTTTGGAGCTGTCTACACAGCAGGAAATTGAAGAAAGAACACTTTTCCTTCAACTTCCCTTACTCCTTGTGAAATGAGGGCTACCATGAATCAGAGTAAAAAGTCCTTCAGCTCAACATTATTTCAAAATACAGGTTTGTAGTGTAGATGTGCACTATGTTATTTTGGATTAACATCACTTATTCCAAAATAACACTGCTATGTAGATCTACCCACAAAGGACAATCTTTTTGTAGTACAGAGCCTAGCACAATGAGGTAATGGACATGATTAGGGATTATACATTCTTTTAATAGATTCTAAGGCTTATTACTATGTTAATAATAGAGTATGAGTGAGTCTCATCAGTTATTTGTATACATGGATACACATTCACATCCCTAAAAGGAATTTTGAATATTCACCTGCATAAAGTTGCTCACAGGTATAAATATTTTCAGGATCTTGACCCAAGATGAATTAGGCCATGTTAGTTCTTGGATAGGAAACCTCTGAAGAACATCAAGATACTACGTTTGGTGGCATTCTTCCCTCATAGTTGGAGTTTGAGAACTTTATTTAGTTTGGAAGATACTGTAGAAGTTCAAATATTTCTGGTCATTATTGATTATAAACATTACATTTCTTACAGATCTAGGGATTGATCCAAACCTCTTTGGAGTCAATGGGAATCTCTCCATTGGTTTTATAAAGAGCTTTGAATCAGTCTTTTATGATGGCACTTGTCTTTAATTTATTAGGATATTTGGTTTAGAAGTAACAAAATTTAATTTAGTCAATAATAGGAAAAGAATTATATGCATCACAAAAAAATTACATGATTTTTAAGTTCAGTAATGTCTTCATTGCTAAACTAAAGAATTAAAAGGGGGGAATAGTATAGAGTTTCAATTACTATATATTTCTGAAGTGTCTATTTAACATTTACCACACACACACACACACACACACACACACACACACACACACAAAAGAGAGAGCGAGAAGCATTTGATTAATTTTACACCTCAAGATGCTCTTCTTGTTTCCAGAACAATGATGTACGAACAGCTTTTTTTGGCTGATGAATTATTTCTGAGCTGCTTGCTTTATATCCAAGGACTATGTGAAGATGCATGTAATATTAATAGATGCAAAGGATTAGAAGATCATGCCATTTATTTGATAAAGGTGAGCAAAGCAACTATATTTTAAGTGTAAATACACAAAAAAATTAATTGATATATCACAGTTCAGTAATTATTAGTGATTACATTAAAAAGATATATTAAGATGTTCTTGGATAATTTTGGAAAAGGGCAATAAAGGCATTTCAGGAATGGGTCATGTGAGCATATGACTGGTTATGGAGTTTTCATTTCCAGCGAAACAGGTGAATGGAGGAATTCAGTGTCAGCTTGCCAACTGATAATAGGAACCAATTTGAAGTATAGGTTGGGCATCCCTGGTCCGGCACCTTCAGGATCTGACTGGTCCAGGATGAGGAATTTTTCTGGCCTAGGAAAGGTCATTTCTTGCCCCGCTGCCATCAGCCCCACAGTCCTGGTACAGCCATTAGCATCCCAGCTGCCAGCCTTCTGGCAGCCAGCTGATGGCCCTCTGCCACTGGCCCTGATACCGTGTGCTAATCTCATAGCCCCGCCAGATAGCCATACAGCTGAACACTGGACACACAGCCCCACCAGCCCTCCACCAGGACTCTCTGGTCCTGGAACAACTGGGGTTTTGCTGAATCACAGATTTTACCAGACCAGAGCATCCCAGTTTAGAGAAGTTCAACCTGTATCATTTAAGAATTGATATGCGTGGTTTAAAGTATATGAATTGTACAGTGTGTCACCACCACAATGCAGTATGTTAATGTGTATTGTGATGTTAATTCATTTGCCCTAAAATAGTCCTCCAAAAGCTGAAAATCTATCTCACAGGTGGTTTGGAGCATGTCATTTATCTGTACTTCCCATCTTATCTATAAAATGGGGATAATGATACTAATATTTTTTGTAAAGCACTTTGATATTTATGAATGAAAAGTACAATTTAAAAGTTAGGTTTTATCACCTGTGGTTTTTTCATCATATGTGTATTCTCGATCCTTGATTGGGGGCCCTAGGTGCCATCTACCACAATACAGATGACAAACTACATGAATACTGATGGAGTCTGCCATAAAGTAACAAGGTGATCTGAAAAGCAGTTTTCCCCCCTGTTTTTAACCATTTGTAAAGTTGTATGCATTGTTGTGAGGGTACTGGCCCTTTAAGGGTAAAAGCCAGCCCTGGGAGAGGGCTGAGAGAGCTAAGCCCCATATCTGAGGTAGGTACTAGCTAATTAGGATCCAGCTGAGGAGAATATAAATAAAGGGTCCTGGAGGGGAGAAGAGTCAGATTCACTCTTTCTCTAGCTGGGGAGCAGGAGGGACTTAGCTGCCAGGGAACCTAGAGGCTTTCTGACCAAGGGTACGTCTAGACTGGTGACAGAGGCATGTAGATTAGGCTACCAGACATAGGAAAATGAAGCGGCGATTTAAATAATCACTGCTTCATTTAAATTTACATGGCTGCCGCGTTGAGCCGACAGACAGCTGATCAGCTGTTTGTCAGCTCAGCGCGATAGTCTGGATGCGTGGGTGTCGACACTTCTACGAGGTGTACAGCTAGTTTGGATTAGAAGCCTAATCCTAACTAGCTAGTCCGTGCTGCGTGTAGCCGCGCGGCACGGGGTCCGACCCAGCCGGCATTTAAAAATGGCGCCGGCCGGCTTCATGCAAATGAAGCCCGGGAAATTCAAATCCCGGGCTTCATTTGCAACTGCGGATGACTACATTACCCCCGCTAGTTCGAACTAGTGGGGTAGTGTAGACATACCCAGGGTGAATCAGATTAGTCTGTCTCCATTATTCCTTCTAGAATTGTTTCTGTTAAAAGATCTTTGGTGGAAAGGGGCACATTTATTTCTCCAAATCATTTCAAGAGAAAGATCAGATTCAAGCTACTGCTTTTTGAGGGACTTGAAGGCATAGATAAGTACTCTCTGAAGCATGTCCCCCAAGGCTGACTCTTGCACCACCCATATCGCCAGCCCCCTGCCCTGAGCCCCTCCTCACCCCAAGCTCCTACCCTGACTCCTGCTTACCCCCATACCTCTCCCTGCCCTGAGCACCCCATACTTACATTTCTTACAGGTATTGTTGTTGTATTGTACCCTCCCATCCCCCTGACCTAAGCCCCTCTCAGGGAGGTGCAACACAACAGTACCTGTAAGAAACTGAAGTTACTTTCACCCCTGCGTTGTCACTACTTACCAGGATAGAATCTTTTATCTTGAATACATGGCCTACATTTTTTGTCCCTAGACTCTTGTATTTACATTTAGCAGTGTTAAAACACACATAGTTTGTGCACAGCTTACAAGGTAAATTATATGGCTCTGTATCAGTGACCTCTCTTTCATTACTACTTCCCCGTTTTTTGTGTGTAATCTGATAATGTTATCAGTGAGGGTTTTGTTTTCTTCCAGGTCATTGATTACAAAATTATATATATATATATGTGCACATCTCCATCTATCCTACTTGTATCAATATTTAACATTTGTGAAAAGAATGGCCCTCACACAGTTGCCATGTAGGCTGAGCTGTGTGGGATGTTTAGAACAGTGCATCTTGCTTGCATGGCCTTCCACCTGAAAGGCAAGATGATTAGAGTCCGCATGGATAACACAGCGTTAATGTTCAACATCAACATGCAAAATGGAGTTTGTTCTTTGGCCCTCTTCCTGAAGGCCCTCAAGCTATGGGACTTCTTTATCAAACACAATATCGACTAGAAGCTTGTCATTTCCCAGCGGCACAGAACTATCTCATGGTTCGCTTGAGTTGAGACTTCTCTTCTCACTAGAGTGGATACTGCACATAGAGAGAGCCCATTTTCTTCTTGTCATGGGAAGAGATAAGCCGTACACATTTCTCCCAATTATTTTAATCAATGAAGTCCTTAGAAGATTTAGAGAGATAAAGCCATGGTTCTTTTGACAACATCTGCATGGTCCTGACAATGTTTGGGAATTTGTTGAGTCTGGAGGTGCTCTCCCAATGGCCACTGCTGGACCAGTCCGACCTCCTGTTCCAAGAATCTGCTCTCCTCCTGTACCCCATCCTCACATCTCTCCACCTCACTGTGTGGGTGCTTTATGGCTGAACCCTGAGGAATGAACCAGTTTGGAGTGGATGAGGGGCCAGCTGGTCTCCACCCAGAAAATTTCACCTCTTGCATCTGCACTGGCTATGACCTGGTTAGCATCCCCCATCTCTGATTATGAGAACTTGTTCAATCAGGTTTTAGGCCTCTTCATCAGTGTTCCTGGCTCATGTTTCAATCCAGGACATCTGCTGGGCAGCTATGTGATCTTTGGTGCACACTTTTGCTGTGCACTATGCCATTAATCTCCCAGACTAGAGAGGATGCTAGGTGGTGCAACCTTCTCATTCCTGAACTCTTATCTACCTCTGAGTCACTGGGAATTGTCTATTGTGGAGCGGACACGAGGGAGAAAATATAGTTACCTGTTCTGTAACTTGTGTTCTTCAAGATTTGTTGTTCATGTCCATTCCACATCACACTCTTTTCCATTAACCGACTCTCAGGCAAAAAGGTGGGGGGAGAATGCAGTGCCTCTTATACCATGTCATGGAAACACTCCCTTTTAGGTGCTATCAGGGGAAAAATATCTGACACTGGTACACATGACAAGCTTGTCCACTCCACAATAGGTGTGCATGAGCAACACATCTTGAATAACATAAGTTATAGAACAAGTAACAGGTCTTTTTCTCCATTTTATTGCCCAGATTCATTGCATTAATGTAGAAGCATTTCAGTTGTTTTCCTTGATCTGCACCCAGTTTTCTAGTTGGATTGGATATAGTCCTTTCACTGAGTGTAACACCTGCCTGAGTACTATTCCAGTCAACATTTCCATTCCTCTTCCCCCCTTCATTCTCACACTTTTAACTTGTAATGTTCCATTATCCCTTACTGCATTTTCATTTAGTTAATTTTCTTCTATGGATTGAAGCCAGGTATGGAGATTTCATGAGTTTCTCCCAACCTTCTAGCATAAAGACCTTTTTATCAATCGTTCTAGTCTTGATCTGAGAAGATTCAAACCCCACATACTCAAGAGGATTCCATCAGTTGAAGAATCTTTTTCTGTGAACTCATTATCTCCCTCAAACCTTCCTCACAGCACTAATCCTTGACATTATATAGTTTGTCTCTGCAGTTCTCCAATGAGTCATGTCTGTTCATTACTAGTTAGAGCTTTCTCAGGCTTGCAAAGGCCTTCCATTTATGCTTCCCCAATCAAATTCTAATGATGATACTTCCATCCTGGGTTGGGTTGCTAACATCCAAATATCATCAGACGTGAACATTGTGGCATCAGAAAGATACTCTTCTACATACATATGGTGTTGAATGAAGCTTTGAATAATTCATTTAGTATGTATAAACTTTCTTCATTTGATTCAGATAAAAAAGTATTGGATGTGTTACTTACCCTCCAATTCCACTGATTCTGCAACTTTTAGTGAAGTTCAAGCAAGATTCAGCTTCCATGAGTCTCACTGCACTAGCATGTCCCAGACCATACTGGCTTCTGGATGGTTATTAATACCCTCATAGATCAAACTTTTTCAGAATAATGGGACAGTTCTTTACATGAAGGTGTCATCCTTAGTTTTGGTAGCCTGGAAGTTAACTTCTTGAATCACATTTAGAAATTCTTTTCTTAAATATTTTAGGATATTTTATTAAATAGTAAAAGCTTTCCACTTGAACAGCTTGGAAAAGATTTGATGGTTAACCCCAGAGTCTTAATATTTCACCTTTTTAATGTGATGTACCTTCCATTTTAGATTACTTTCTGTACTTAAAATTCTCAGGATTGTTGATTAGTTCCATTAAAGTGAATCTAGATTCACTAGCATTTGCTTATCATCCTAAGAATGATGGTTTTAATATATTTTTATCCTTTTAAAAGTATTCTTATGTATTTCAGCTAAAAAGGATCCATATGCTCCATTAATTCTGAATGTTGTGTGGTCTAGTTTAATGAAAACCCTGTTTGAACCTTTAGGTAATTGTCCATTAAATCTTCTGTCCTTGAAA